TTAGGGCAGAAACAACATTACTATTTGGTCAAAGTCCTTAAACTGAGATTTATGCTGTCTTTCAGTTTTGAGAACCGAATTTCAAAATATATAAAATCAATAGATTTTTAAAATATATTTTTTATATATACACGCATATGTATTCCCACACTTCTAATACATCCTGAATTTTTTGGAATTGAAAAAACAGTATTCTCTCTTGAAAGCAAGATAAAGTAATAATGTTATTAATGTATCATCGGTAAGAAAATTTATACTGTTCAACATCTAGGAACATTTTTCTTTATAAGAAGCAGCAGAGTTTCAAGTTCACCAGAAGTGTGTCAGTATAAATCTGAACAGAACAATCCTTACGACATCTTTGTGACTCATGTAGATGTATTTCCTGTTCTCTGTAGAGTTGTTTTGGTTTTTTTCCCTCTGAGCTCAATTGGATTGCTGAATAGCACAGCATTAGTTCTCTCTTTAAAGTAGTTTAGAGATACTTTAGATTTTACTAGCATCTGAATGAAAATTACCCCACTAAAACAGGACCTACAAAAAGCTTCAGCAAAAGCACAGAAACGCGCTGTGCAAGGAAGGCTTTGTATGACTATGCAATTTCATGACTGTGCCATTATTGGCTATATTTTATTTGCATATAATTTACCTGTAAAACCTATGTTTAGCTGGTATTGGTGCTCTGGATGTTACTTTGTACTTTTTCAAAATTTTTCCTTTCCATCATTTGGTACCAAGTCAAACAGAAATCTGTCCACAACTGTGGGACATCTCTGAAGAATGAATTCTTAGAAAACTGTCTTTTTCCCAAGTGGATAGAAGATGCCATCAAACACTAAAAGACTCTCCCTGGCATATTTCAGCTAATACTAAGGGGTTTAATTAATGTGGTCTATTATTTCTTCAAAGATAAAATTTTAAAACATAACTTTTTTGTAGTCTCATGCATGTAACACTGAGAATTTTGCTACCCATTTGAGCTTTTTTATACACAGGTATGGATTATTTTGGTATCAGGATTTTTGTTTCTAAGCACCAAGTATCACCATTCATTTTCCTCTGAAAGTTACTACATTAATATTAAGCATTTCAGATCATAGCAGTGATAACTTCTGTATGGGAGTTCTGAAGCTTTCTACAAAACTCAAGTAGAGGGGCATAGCAATGGTCACCTACAGGTATCAATGTTAAGGAAGTCATTTGATCATATCATACATGAGCACAGTTCCTTTTATAGATAGAGGTGGGTTTGATTTAGTTTTGATTTTATTTGTTTGGCACTTAAATACAATGGAAATAAGGTTCAGTTGAGACCTGAGCTTTTATATTTCCATATGAACGCAAGTGGAATCAGGAATGTAAGGTTTCTCCCCGTTTGTATTTCCAAGTGCATGGGCCTACAACTAACACTACATCAGAAATACCGACTACTGCACTTCACATAGTGATCGGAAAGCAGGAGAGAGAGGGTGCCCAGAGTGACACAGATTTGCAGTCTGCCATACTAAAGGCACATTATGATGTTAATATAGCAATATTTAAGGGTAACATTTGCAGTTTTTGGCATGGAACAGCCAACGTCACAGTGTACAGCCCACCAAAGGGTCCATCACAACAAGCCCCATGACTCCAACCCTCACAGGCCCTCCCATAGACTGCAGTGGAAATGCCTTTTTTTTTTCCAAATCAAAAGAAAATAAGGAGAGAGATGTACAACTCCATTTACTTCCATCCAGTCTGCATCTTGGAATAGAAGCCTGGTTCTGTGAAACTGTCCCAGATTGGGCTGTGTGTGGGTTTCCCCCCTGGGTGCTACACCTGCACTCCTGGGAGCAGATGTCCTGTTAAGTTGTTTGGACTTCATATGCAGCAGCTTGGCAAGCAACTGAGTATGATATATTGATATTATTAACTAACTGCTATACTTTAAAGAATAAGCAGGCATAAAATAACAAGGATTTAAGGCACTAGTAAAACGTGACTTAAAGAAGGATTTGCATGTTCAGCAGCAGACCCTTTTTTACAATTACATCAGTCCAAAAACTGCATGTTCCTTCTCTAAAACTTTGTTTATAGCCCAAGACCATCACATAACAGTGCTACTGCTGGTAAACAGTAGCAACTCTAATTAAAACTACTTTTTTCTCAGGTGGTGTAGTCTTAAACCAAAACATCTACCTATAAGACACAGGTTAAAGTCTAATAATTTTACTGTCTACTTAAGACATCTTTAATCAAGAACAGAAAATTGCATTTTTCTCCATAGTGTGCATGCTTGCAAGAGATTGAACATGAACAACACCCCAAGGAAGAATCTCATTAAGATACCCATAATAGTGATTTTTCAAAATTATTTTTATTTTTTATATCCAGTGACTAGGTGAATAGAAATGGAATCAAACCACCAAAGCAGGAATCTCAATTACCTGCCTAAAGAGTTGTGGGGGGTGAACTCACTTTATATTCACCTTATATCTCACTTGTATGGTTTTTACCCTGCTCCCCTTCTTTCTACTTCTGAAGTAAACTACTTTTTGCTGACAATTCGAAACATTTCTGTTCAAAGATCAGTTGTGAGTCTTAGAGATTTTGCATCTGAACAGCAGTTCATTCCACTCCATTTTATAAAGGAGACTTCAGAGACTATGAGTCACTGTGCCATTGCAGCTGTGACTCTGAGACCAGATTATTTTTGTGTGTGTGTTTATATGCAAAAACATTGTTTCTTAGGACCGTGTGCTAGTCTTTTTTTATTGGTATGATCTAAGTATTTCCAGAACATCCCATCTGCTGATCAGGAGTTTGTACAGAGAGGGCCCTTTCCCATATATGTTCCCCCTTCCCTCTTCTCCCCACACTCTCTTAAACCTCCCCACTATTAGGAATGACACAGGGAGAAATTTCTGCAAGACAAAATGAATTGTGAAGATACTTTCCATGCCAGGACAAATTTCCTTCCTCTGGGATCATCAACCCTGCTCAGCATTTCAGGTCCATGTCTAAACTCTTAACCCTTTGCTAGCACTGAGCCCTGAATGAAAAGAGACACACACATCCAAATGCTTAAAATCAGTGGCAGACTTTGGCCTGTCCCAAAATAACTGCCAGTTAGGCCTTACATTGGTTGTCAGTTGTATGGGGGTTTTTTTGGTTTTGTTTGTTTGTTTTGTTTTGTTTTTAACTAGATTATTCTACATTTTGGCCAGCGGGAAGGGCGATTTATTGCCACAGTTATGGCAAACACAACTTCTTTGCAAAGAGGATTTCTAGCAGTCCTTTTTACGCAGTTTGCCACAAAGTTTCCAAAATAATTTTCAAATGCTAAGTTCTGGCTTTAGTCTAAAGTTGATCTTTGAAATCAAGATTGACAATTAAGTCATAGAAGGATTTACAATCCCATTAAAGAAAAAGAGAAGATAAAAATACGAACATGCAATAACATAAAATCTGATTAGTTGTACATGGATACATAATATCAGATAAATTAAAAGCCCCAAAACTACAAACAACAAAGTTAAAAATCAACACCCCCTTATTATTTTGTTCCACAAGATATTTGGATTTTTTCAGGGAAACAAGTAATAAAAATAATTTCAATACATCAGCAATAAAAAAATTGTAATATAAATTACTGTCTATTGTAATAGACAACTAAATTGGGGTATAAATTAATATGTTATGGCTTAATTTATATTGAATATATCAATGAGAATAAAAATATTTAGGATACAACCAACTACTGTAACAATTTCTTCTGGTGTAATTTTAATACCAGAGTTTTTAGAATATTATCAAAAATAATTGTATATCTTGGTTCCACTATTCCATTTATCCCTTTCATATATTATAAAATTCAGATTAATTTTGGTGGAGTTTTGTTTTGTTTGGGGTTTTTCTTTGTTTGTTTTGGTTTTTTTCACATCATGAATGAATGAGAAGAGGAAATTGTTCTCAACTACAGACTATCATATATCAAATAGTGCAGTAACATTAGTTTTGAAATTCTCATTTCAGAAGTCTCACAGACTGAGCTAAGAAAGATCCAAGAGTTATAGAAATATTTCTTTCCATATGAGAGAGCAGATTTCTTGCACTAACATTAAAAATCACCCTCTGTTCGAACTCTGTGCACCAATGTAAATCACATTACAATCTGCCGTGGATTCTACAAAATGCACAGCCCCTTTTCTAGACATTTGCAATTCCCACAAATATCCTGCAGATCTGCTAGGTCAGCACAAGATTATCTGTGTCATTTAAATCTTGCATTATGGCCGCTGGAGCTGAAGGGCACAGGCAAAGCTGCCATGCAGTGAGGCTCACCACAAACACAGACAGGGGCCTGGGCACAGCCTCCCTGCTGAGGGTGAACGAGGAAAGGCAAGACAATGGGATGTGTGTACCTGGATCCACTAGTTATATTATTCTATACCATTCTGTACTCTGAATTAGTACAATGGCACTGTATGAGGCCAAGTTATGCCAACAAGAACCTAACTAATTTAAATGTCCTTTATTCACACAGATTCTGATCAAAAGTTATTTTTAACCTTAAGAAAATCCTCTCTACAAATAAATTGTGTATTTAATTTCTTTTCAAATATCCTTTCCACAAAGGAACATTTTATTTATATTGATGAAATAATTTAAGCATTTTTCTTTGTAATATCAAATGCTGTTACATTAATATTTTGAAATTAAAATAGTTGAAATGCTGCAAAGATGGCATATACTAAAGGAAAGGCTGATGTTGTGGGAGCACAAGTTAGATTTTTAACAGTCACATATCATAAGTATCAGCATCCTAGCATATTAGGCAGCAGTTCCTTAATCACACCCACTTGACCACTTCTCACCAGTTTAGTCCCACCAGTGGTCCACTTAAACTATAAAAGTGCACAATGTAAAAATTAAGGAGACTGTCAAAAGGTATATTTCCAAATGAAAAGGCTTAACGTGAACCCTCTGAATCAATATTTAACTGTCTAAAATATAAGTGCCTACATTTCCAGTAAGTTATTTGCAGAAGTGCTGAGCATTACCCAGCCCTTTCTCTGTGAGACGCAGGAGTTCAGCACCTTTGAAAAAAACAGTATGATATTAATTAGGTCTGAGAGGTGAATTTGAGACCCTAAGATTTGAAATTATGAAAATATGTAATTTCCATATGATACACCTGGAAATATGAGAGGTGGCAGTGGGGAGGAGCAGCTCAGAGAAAGTGACACAGGAAAGAAAAAAACCCACCCCAAGTGCCACTGTAATCATTTAGAGAAATTAAGTGCAATATAGATTATAGTATGCTGTTTGGAATCTACTTTTTTGTTAGAGATAAATTATTTCATTTACCAATTGCTTATTCCTGTACTGAATGTTCATTGAGTTTATTGTATTGCATTTTATAAATATGTGAAAAGAAAAAATTATGAAATGTTGCCTATACTTAGAAAAAAAGGCTGAAAATCATGTTCCCATATTCTGATCTATGTTTCTTTAAGTCATACAATGTATCTTTGCAGAACTAAATGAAGTATAAAACTAGAGATTAATGTCATTACACTTGGAAATACAAACTGTTGTAATAAAATGAAGACATAGATTCTTCCCACCAAGTTAATTTGAATAGCTTTCATTCTCTTTAGTGGAGCATTTTGCTTTTAATTGCACAGTAACATGTCTGGATTGTAGTCTATATCCAAGGAAACAATTTCATTTGACCTTCAATAGATAGTATCAGAATTAATTTCTAATAGTGTTGGGTATTCTCTGAGCTAGAGTGATGTAAAAATACTTCTTTTTTGAGCTATAATTTCATTCATTTTCAGATTATTCTTTATGAAAAGGAAACTGATAAAATATACTCTTTTCTTTTTCTTCCTTAATCTCTCCTCACGTGTCTCATTTTTCCTTTGTTCTCTGTCTATCTTCCTCATATTCACCCTTCCAAAGGCTAGGAAAAGGCTGTCTCTAGTCAAATATTCTCCGCACTGCTGTTACATACCATGTATGTACTATTTCATTTACAAGATATTTATGAACTCTTCCTTGCATAAGTGAGTGTACAAAAGAATATTTTTCTAGCTTCTAAGAAAGAAATTAAATAGTCTGCATTGACAGAATCAGCACTCAGGTTCTGAAACAATAGACTAATCATCCTTTAAAAGTGCTGCTTTTTTTGCCTTTGTTCTCTACTTCCCCCCTCCCTCCTAACACATTTGCTGTAAAAGTAGATCATTTCACAAACGTCTGACATTAATAAAAACACTTCCATGATTGTCATATTTTTCTTCGGAGAATCTTTCGTTGACACAATCTGCAAAAGTGAATTCGATTTTAAATGAAAAACTAAAACTTCTTTTTATGAATAGTTCAATCAAATTTTGTCTGGATAAGAAAGAAAGTTTTTGACCAAATCATAGGTAATCATACACATACACCCTCCCCCCACAATTAATTTGAGAAGCTCTTGTAAGCTTCTTTTTTTCTGACATAAATTAATCAATCCATGTCCCACACAAAAAAATTACAATAACAACTGCCTGTAATAATACCACTTTTAGAAGTCACATCCTCAATGAATCAAAGAATGGTGGATATATACAAGCTCATATCATTTCTAAATTAACAAAAATGTGTTAATTGTAACTTCCTCTATCACCAAAATCAGCCTCACTTACCTGTCTACTGACAATAAACATCCAAGAAGCACAAGTAACAAAAGAAATAGTCCAACAAATAAAACACAGCAAGAAAGGGCCGCTTCTAATTTTAAAATAAGCCAAACAATATTAAAAAGTACCACAGAGGTGCCAAGCAACTAGTAGTTGCAGACGTTATGAAGACTATTTTGAAAGTCAAAGTATTTTCACAGTCTTGGAGGAGTAAAGACAGAAGACAATAGCTTGCATTCACAATCAAACTCACTAAGTTTCTTACTTAGTAAGAATTTCTGGGAGATAGACCCAAAAATATCTTAAGAATTGAATAAAGTAAATACCATATGTCTTAAATAAGGAGTATATCTCAAAGTATATCTTTAATAAACATTTATTATGTTCTTATAAAGAGTATTTACATATAAACATTGATGTATACTCTCTGTATCTCTGCATCAGTACATGAAAATTAACTGTTGACTTTGAGAACACAAGAATTTTATTGATATGTATTATGTTATTCTGCATAGCGCGAAAGCATAGATTGAAAACTAGCTTTCATAACAAAATTGGGTTTTGAAACTCAAAAAAAAAAGTATATTTTTTCATGTAATTATAGTTGAACATTCTGTTAAAAGAACCATATATTTACAAGCTCTCTGGTTGTGTGCTGTTGCATTTCTTCCATAAAATTCACTATATTTCTTAAACAAACCACAATATTTCTTATTCCTTATAGCTAGTACCTTAGAACCTTTATCGTTATTTTGACTACTGGAACCCAAACATATACAATATTTTAATTACTAAGTGACTAATTTTTATGTTGTTATAGAAAAAAAGTTTTACAAACATTTTATAAGAAATAAAACTGTAAATCAATTGTACCATTTTCATAACTAATTTAGGACTCCAAATTATTTTTCAGCCCTTCATTTATAGTGAATAAACATTTCGGAAGTGCTTCAAATTTCTATTCACAATTCTTGCTGAGGATTTGAAAGGTTTCTATTTTATTTGCTTTATTTAATGCAAATATCATCAAAAGTGAGGAGGAAAGAAAAGTAAACTTCCATTGCTGGGCCTCAATGGTTTTCATAACTTTGAAGTTATACGCAACAGAGTCCGATCCTGAAACTCTAACTGCTACAAAGCTTGTAACTCTCTAAGCTTCACAAGTTTTGTGTCTTCTTCCTCTTCTTCACCTTCAGTCTGACTATTAATATTATACATTATTCCTCACATGCCAAGCTTCTTCAGTATTGTTTTTTATTCAACTTCTTCTGGGCATGTAAAGCTATTCCCTCTTCTATATTTTTGACTATATTCACTTGCAGATGGTACCCCAAAATGTTCTTTCCTATATATTACTGGACCAGGCAATATTCAACAAGGTGCATAATTTTGGGGAAAGCTTATGCTACTTTGAGATTAGTGGAACCAGTGAAAATAAAATAAACCAACCCCAACAAACCAACCAAAAAACCCAACAAACCAAAATACCACCCAGCCAAACCTATGTTATTCTCCCCTAACACCTGGACCCCTTTAGACACATTCAGATTTTCAGAAAGTTTTCTCTTGTACTTTCCTGTTTTGTCTGATCAACTTGTGAGCTACACTTCTCACTTTAAGGACAGAATACACAAAGACTTGGCTTCATTCACTGTGGGTCAAAAATCATCAATCATAATTTTGAAGTAAACAGTTAAAATAGACACTCATTTCAAGGAGTATTTTGTATTCGGTTTGATAACATTCCTAAAGCTTCCAAAGCTTTTGTTGCTTTATTTGCTATTTATAGCAAATCTGCTACTGAGTCATGGCACAGTGACATATATAATAAAAAGCCCATACGTGTCAGAGTTACATAAGCAATTTGACTTCTTTTTGGATCTACATTGGATAGCAATATGATGGACAGCCACCTTAACTACTTGGTGCTATATTCCAATATACATTAACTAATTTAAAATGTAATATTTGAAAGATTCCACCAATGTGCAGCCAATAATCCATGTGGGTAATTAAAATCATATATACTCACATTAAGAGCAGACTCATTAAATCCAGAGCTGCTGGTGTTCCCATTGAATGGACTCAAAATACTGGGTGCTCAGCTTTTCACAGACTTCACACCATGGATCCAGCATGTGGTTCTGCATAATATGAGATAGGATTGGTCATTTTTACATTTTTGTTAAGTCACAGGAAATTTAGAGTTATAAAAGTCACTATTTGGAGATTAGTTGTAGCTTTTTTTCTTTTTTTTTTTTTTTTAATAAGGCAACTAACCATTTGTGCCCTGGTTAAAAGCATTTTTTGTAAGTTATAATTTTAAATATAGTAATTCTAATAAATTATAGAAGATAATATTTCTTATGTAAACCCCATTGCTTTTCGTACAAATGAAAGTATAAAGCTGGGTTGCATGATTTAATTAAAATCTATCTTATTTCTCCATCAAATTTGGTGGCACAGCTGTTTACCATGAGGGAATGTGCAAAGGTATGAAAAATATATTTTATTATCACAATACAGAGAAATATCAGCCTTCAAGTAAGAAGGCATCTAACTTTCAACTTTCTCCTTTAGACAGTGAAAAAACCCACCAAAATATGCACACATTACAGGCATATATTATTAGCGGGACTAGGTCTTAAGAGGTAATGGAAGGAGTGGGAAAGAGATGTAGTGTGGCAGCTTTACAAAGAGCTGAGCTGACATAAAGACTTGTTGTCCTTTGTTTTCCCTGTCTTTCTGTCTTTGCTCCCAACCCTTTCATTTCACTCCTTTGCAATGAGTGTGGCACTGACTCCAGGAATCAATTCAACTCCACAGCCAAGGAAAAAAAATGTATAATTAGTTTTGGCCAGAATATTTTTCTAACAGGTTGGTGATTTCAAGTGCCTTGAGTCAGTACCAAGTTTGAGGCAGAAAACAACAATAACAAAACAAACAAACCCCACCAAAAAATCAACCAACAAACCACAAAAAAACCCAAAAAACCCTGACAAAACCAAGAGAGTGTGACCACAGGAAGAGATGAGAAGAAGTGGCCAGGAAACCAGGATCTTTCAAAGACAAGCAAACACATCAACATGTTCACCTCATGATATGAAGCTGTGTCTTGGGCTGCCTGATATCATGACAAAAGAAAGTATAGAGGAAAGGGTAGTCACAGCAGGCTGTGACTGGAGACTTTAGATGCCAAATACCTCGCAAAACTGCTATACTTATTTGCGCTGAAAAAATGAGGTCAAACATCATTTGTGATGTTCACAAGGTTTGGAGCAATGAAGGTTCCTCTTCAATAATGTCCAAACACAAAGTCTTTCAGAAGGTGATGCTTAACACCCTGAAGGTTGGCAAGGCTATCACTGCTCAAACAAATGTGCGGGGACACCACTGGATCCAGTTTGGCAACGTGAATGACACAACTGCTGGAGGACCTAAGGAGAGCAGGAGAAAGCAGATACAAAGTGCCAGCCCAAGTACCCATGCTCCCATGAACATGCAGATGCCCTCAGGAGAAAAAAGAAGGACTAAAGCATCCCAGTATATCACACTACCTCATTTGAGTGATCCCCATTGCCATGGATCACCCTCACTAATGAGCAACCATGCATTGTAAAGCTGGATAGTCCTCTGAATTGAGCCCTCAGAATATCTGTTGGAAGATATTCTGTTACATGAGAATCAGGACTGTTTTGCTCATTACTATAACGAAGTCCCTGCTCAGGCTGTCTTCAGTACTAGTTGCTACAGCTCAGGAAAAAAAAAAGATACAGTACATTTTAAAGATCTTTCCAAAATACCTCAATTGAACTTTCCAGAGTTTGAACTACTAAACAAATAAAGAGCTTGCATGCATTTACATTAATAAAAAGAGGAGGGTTTTTTTTCTTGTTATAATTACCACATATTACAAAGGGGAGTAAAACAGATTTCTGTATCTGCTTTCCCATCATATAAATACTACATAAATTAATTACCATCTTTCCAAATGTGTCAGTTCCTACTGAGAATTTATGAGATTAGAGAGATCTTCCTTAGAGGCAAGCATGATTAGATCCTAAAGTAACTCATACTTTTTTACTAAAGGATGTCATATAAACTATTCCAGAGTTTTTCACAGAAACCGCTAGTTTTCCTATCCTCTTTACAAGTATAAGTAATAATAACAACAGTTATTATTGCTAGTGTACTTTTTATGCTGCACAAAGGCAAACAGGAGTAAATTACAGCAATGCATTCCTGAAAGCTGTTGAATGTCTTCCTCTCCTATCAATATAAGTGAAAGACCATTACACACAACTAATCAATGATGCTATTCTCATGAAACACTGAAAAACTTTATAAAGGAAACAAGACAGAAGGAAACACCTCCCTAAGAAACAGTTGTGATGATGCATCAACCCATGCTACGCTTTCTAAACTGCACAAGGAATGTAAACGTGCACTTTGGCAAGAAGAAGTGAATTGCTTACTGTGTGCATTCTGCCATCTATTTTTGCCCAGTGAGGGCAGGGTGCCCAGCCCTATAGGACTTGGGTCATGTTATCTCCTGAGTTCTTCTTGTGGTAGGACTTGCCACAATGGAGTCTGCTGTTATTAAAAATAACTTTCAATACTAGACTCCCGACAGCAATTCAAAGACCTGTTTCCACACTGCCTCTCTCCTTATAACTCCTGCCCAGGTGCATCGTACCTAACAGCTGCAGTCCTACAGTCCAGATCCTCTAAACCTTACAAATCCAGTACAGGGTGGCAGCCAGGTTTCCAAGATGCACAAAAGATAGTCTCCCTTTCCAACACTACATCCGTAAGTACTATGAAGCAGTAATATAACCTACTTACAAATAAAATTTTTTGACTCTTTACAGTACTGGATCAGGATAGAGCCGGGAAGAGATGCATACTTCATTTCCTAGCCTCAAAACCTGACAGCAGCTACTGAGGTCTTTGCAAGTTCTGAGCAACTGACTTTGCTCTACGTCCCCTATCAAAACAGATTACCCAATTTACACCAGGCAGCTTATGGAAAGTCTACTTTACATTAGACAATTTCAAAATCACTGCCTAAATTGTGATAGTGCAAAGAGAACAAGCACTCTCCCTCTGTTATAGGGGAGGAAAGGAATGAGAAGGGGAGGCAACACTGGACAGAACAGAAGCCAAGTTTCCAGCCTCCTCCAGGTCCCAAAAGTTATGTCATAACCAGAGAACATGCAATATCTCTAGGAGAAGCTGTAACTCCTGGAAATCAGGTGAAACTCCAAGCAAGTATGTCCTGCATACCTGGGGAGAAGGAAGATAGTCTTCAAGAAAATGCTAAGAATTCACATGCTGTTATAGTGTTAAGGGTAGTGGTTACTATCTATCTTGAAATGTAGAATCAGAATTTAAATGAATTTCAGAAATTAAGGGAAGTATCTCATTAGGTCAATAACCTGTGTAAACAGTTGTTTAAATATCCCCATAAAAAAAAAGTAACATTACTTAAAACATTTTTCATTTGCAAGAATATCAATTGCCTAGTTAAGAAAAAACATGTGAGCCACTGTGATCACAGACACTGAAAGGCGATAGCCACAGCAAAGTACCATGGCACCAGATATCCTTTTCTGAATTGAAATTAAAGCAATGAAGTAATAAAGATAAAAAATATTTTGTTCAAAGTCCTCATCTGCATAGATCAAGCATACTTTGTTAAAATATTTACTGGGAAGTTTGAAATTTAAACTACTTTGCTTCCAATCTCCAAGCTTTTGTTCAAACTTGTATCATGTACTTACTTAACTGAAAGAAATGCAAAGGCTCAGTGAGGCTTCACGATAAGAACTAAGCACAAAATAAAGAGGAATGATGTCCACGATCATTAAAATACAGGCCACATCACTCAATAACAGCCACCCAGAACTTGCATCCTTGTTGTGCACATAGTCCCAGTCACCAACTCATTGTGCACTGGAGGTGAGACTGTGTATTTGCAAATTTTACAGCAGGAAGGAGAGCATCCTAAGCATAAGCACTAACCACAACTGCATTTAATGGTCCTCCTACTGTACCACTGTCTGATGCCACCACTTCCTTAGCTGAAAAGATTTTAACCTTGCTAGTCTTTTTTGTACCTCATGGTAGCAAAACCCACATGAAAGCCAGGACAGAGAGTTACGTCCACAAGTAAAAAGTAGCAGCAAAGTCTAAAAGCAAAGCACAGTTCCTCATTCAAATTTACCATTACACTATCCAACTCCTCCTTTATCTTGAGCACTTCCCAGAATAGGCATCCTGACATTACAGTCTCATCAGAATATAGTAAATATTATCCATCATGAGGGTATAAGTCTCAAAGCCATATTACTCAAGATGGATCCATCTTTCCTGAAAGTTCTGCTATTCAAAGCACAGGCTACCATTTCCACTGATAGGTACTTTGGCATCAAAAATCTAATCAGATTCAATGAAAGCTAATACATTTGACAGTAACACAAAGCAAATTTCCTTCCAGAGCACTTGTTAAATCCATTTTTGTTGAACAGGCAGGAGAAATATTTCCAGTGAGGAGTTTATTCAATAAAGAATGTCACTTTAATGTTCTTTTCCTCAGTGTGATAACACACAAGAAGTTATTTGGAAGTAGTTGTAATGATCACATATTCATTCTCCATTTTCACTGTTGCTTTAGCCATATATTCAAAAACATTTGCCATTTACTTGATGACCAGGTCTATAGTTGGGAAAGCTGCTTCTAGCCACAAAAAACTTTGAAACTACCAATAACCAGAAGTTTCAACTTATCATGGGAAAAATAAACATTTTACAAAAGAACCACATGACAACCATTGCTATGCGTGAACAGCACCTTGAACATCTGTGGGGTTTATGATATTTGCTTTCTGTAAACACCTTCTGAAAAAAAATCTCGATCAAAAACATTTTTAAAGTGGTGTGCTTTTAAAAGAATAAACAAAACAGGGTAGAGGAATAGAAAAAAAATCTGATTTTATTCATTTTGGTTCATTTAATAGCTTCTAATATGATGCTGCTGCAGCATTAATTCCTCTCTTGATATGACTTTGTGTTTTATTACTCTCCACCTACAGGTTTTTTTTAACATATATCTGTCAATTTTGTTGCAATTGCAATTCAACTAAAAAGCATTGCAAAAAAAGGTTATAAGCCAATTATAAAAGTTTATACAAGAAATAAAACTTCCTTAATGAATAATTTAGGCTAAATTAATATAATTTAAGAAAAATTATTTGTTTTGAAACTAAGCAAAGAAAGCAATGGAGAAAAAAAAAATAGGATATAAGTTGTAGCAAATATCTGCTGTGAACAGCTTCTTAGAACAGCCAGTCAGGTTATGTAAAAATTGTAAATACTGTCAAAAAGAATAAGTATTTAGGTTTGACAGAAAAATGGACAGGTGGGGTGGGTTTGGTTTGTTTGGGGTTTTTCCCCTTTTTACATCTGCCAGGAGAGACTTTTTAACACTTGAAATTGTCTGCAATTAAACATAACATAAAACCAGATTTTATTACTGGTCCATGGAAAGAAGCCGAAATTCCCAGAGAGGCTGTAAGTTTTCAACAGCCTCATCTGAGAGCAGAGAAATAGTCATAACCATTTCTCTGACAGATTGGGCAAGAGCTGCCAAAACCCCGAAGGAAAAGCATTTTGTTTATATCAGCCCCCACTCAGCACGTGGAAAACACAGCTGCAGAGCTGGTTCTCCTGGTCCTCCAGTTTCACACCCCTGTGGACAAAACCAGCCAAATTAAATTTGTGGAGTCACCACCGTGACACACGGAAGCTTAATGAAGCGGTTAGAACAGATCTCAGGACTTGCAGAGAGAAAAAGGCTGGGCTGTTAGCAAGGGGAGACGGGAGACTCAGGAGCTGGTAACTCCTCCAAAAGCCTCCTTCCCTCACTTCATAAAAACACCATCCAAAATCTGGCTTTTCAGTACAACCCCAAGAATGTGTTAATTAGACTACTCTTGGGAAAAATTACTCAAACCTGTAACTCTTGTGGCTGGCTCCCCCACACCCTCTGCATGAGGGCCACTCTGCATTGGCAATTCTATATTCCATGGAAGCAACTTCCTGCAACCTGTTTGAAGCATGGAAGGGGGACCTGTGGCAACTGGGCTGTAGTAGAGAGGAGGAGCTGCTGGAGGAGAAGGCCTTGGTGGCCTGTCTGGGCAGCTGCCATGCCACATCACTCCTTTGGCTCCAGGTGTCAAGCCCCAACAAGGAGCATATTCAGGCTGTGGCTCCCTCCACAGGTTGCCACCGGGCTGGGGTATGGGGCCAGCACTGGGGGACAGGGGCTTGGAAGCTGCAGGTCCCTGACAAAAATTAAGACACCCCTTGCTCTCCCTGAAAAAGCAAAATCTTTCCAACATGGCAGTAGGGAGGGAAGCAGGGAGAGTACTTCAGTACTCAGCACCAACTAAAGAGACAGCATCCCACTAGATAACTATTCAAATGAGCCCTTTTAACCAATCCTTCAGCCTACATGCCACCACTTACAGCAATTTTTATTTTTTTTTTAAGCTGAAGTAACTGAATAACTGTTTTGATCTGCTTTGAGAATTTGTTCCATGTCCTCAGTTTTTCACTACCACTCAGTCCTAGAGCCAGGCAGCCCTAAAGGGAACAGTCGTGATGTTGTAATCCCTACAAGCAGTTTTACTTGTGCTTACCCCTGGTGTGATTCACCTCACCGGAAGGTGAATGCTTGTGATGGCAGGACAGGCCAGTTCTAGCTTCTCACTCCACCCCATCACCCTGCTCTGCTTCCCCTAATAGCAGAGAGAATGAGGACAGGAAAGAATTCAACATCTGACATGATGTCATAGAAAACTTTTCCATTAATTGCAGAAATTGCCATACTTCCTCACTCAAAATACAAGTGCAACTATTTTTTCAGAATGGTCATCCTCTCCTCACCTCACCATCACTTCATTAGCCCTGTCAGCACACATCACCTCTTTAGCAGCTTGTAACGGGAACAGTAGAGCCAGCAAGGAAACACTAGGGCGAGTAACATGCCTATCCTCTGCGCTTATCCTGCCCCTCTGGCTACCTGCTGGTTACTGAGCTCCTTCACAGGGGCTGTTGCTGCTGTGCTTTTGGCAGGTGAAATATGCCACTGCTACAACAAATGCAAGGCTTTTCTGCATAGCGCAAAGGGCAGGCAGATTGCAGAGCAATCATTACCACTGCTGGTGGAATTTCTTATAATCCGACTGGGATAACATGGGCTTAATTAAAAAAAGGAAAATGTCTGTTATCCTCCTATTTGCAAAGAGAATCAACTGAAAGATAAACCTGAAACTCTGACATATGTGGGTCATCAGCCTCACACATGGGGTACAGCATGTCATATGAAGGGACTCACTTCCAGCATGTGTCTCTACCTAGCAGTTGCCACAGGAATTCACACACATCTGAGACCAATCTGAAAAAAATCAGTGTGAGTTTGTAAACTCTAATTATCTCTAAACTGTTTTAATATCTTTAGTAATAGGCTTTCCTGGATTGCTTTTACCTTTTGGAGGTCAGGTTTTAGTTCTTAGGAGGTCACTCATGAAGCTGCAGTCACTCACAGTTTCATTGTTCTCTTTCAATTCTAGATTTACTCTCCTGGCTTTTACTAGCAGACAGGTGAGACTGTGAGTATGCTGTGGTACAGGCTCCATCCTACTGTTTCGGCACCTATACATCAGAACGTCATCACTCTTGGTGCTGCTACATATGCCTGTTTGTAAGCCTCATGGGTGGCAATAGGATCTTTCCACTGAAGGTTTCAACCCACATAGAAGTTCATTAACTTTGCACATCTTAACAGCACTTAGTAAATTTAACATACACTATTTTACCCTTCTCCTTTGAGATCTTACATATTTGGTACTTTTTTCCCTCTAAAGTACCACAGATTAATTCCTCATTTAAGGATCATCTCACAGGTCTGCCAAGCTGCACATCAGAACAGTCTCCTGAACTGTTTCTGCAGCTTCTTGATTACACTTGAATAAGGTATGTCTTTCCATGGCCAGCCTCTTTAATCACTGACTTTACATAACCTCAAAAGTGGACTCCTTTTGACCTCATGTTCAGGGGAAGAAGAAATCACCCAAACAGGGTAAAAACTGACCTTCAATACCTCCTCACCTAAGCAAGCACTCTTCATGAAGGGAATTCACATAGTACCAGCTCACAGCCCTTCTTCCCACCACAACCCTGGGACTTACAGAAAATTTGCAGGCCAAGAGCCATCAGTCTCCTCTCAAGACCAGCACTGGAAGCTGGGGGCAAATGGGAGACTGATTCACAAAGGGACTGAAAATTCCTGAGAATACTCTGTCCCTTGTGAGGTCATTTTCAGATTTCATTTGTTACTTTGAAATTAGCTGCAAGTTTGTTCAGATTTCATCCTGTTCCAATCGACAGATGATCCCTGGCCACCTCTAGCACCTAAAACTTTTATTTCCTTTACTGTCTTTACTTTTAATATACTTATTGCCTTCACAATTCTCATAGCTTTGAAGACCTCTGAAAGTGTACAGTACCAATGCAGCAATCAAAAACAAAAATCTGTGTCTTAATGTACAAAAGCATGTGGTCTTCTCATAACAGGAGAGTTGTTTAATTATGATGTTCACAGAAGGTGGGTGTCTTGTCTCTCAGTCAGTTGAACTAGATGATCATTGTATGCCCCTTCCTACTGAAATACTCTATTCTATTTTTATTATTTAACTAAGACCTACTCACAACTGATACTGCATACGTGTCAGGCAGAAAACACCTACTGATTGTCACTTTTCAATAGAGAGCATGAAGGGTGTGTTGCCTGAAAGGGATGGAGGGAGTTTTATAAGCTTTGCATTTTTGCATATGCTGCCTTGATGTTACTCTCTGATTTTTTTAACAAACCCCATGTGTGGAAAACCTGAATGGCCAAATTAGACACCATGTATAATTTTGTGGTGTCCACAGGTGTCCCTTCATCCTTCACAATGATGAAAATAGTGAAAGTGGCAAAACACACCTGTACAGAAAGAAGATCACATGGTACATGTGTAACATAAACATGTGCCCTATAAAGGTGCCCTATAAAAGAAAGAGCTCTTCATGGTTCTAGAGCTTTACTAAGCACTCTTGATATTGACACAAGGGGGCTATTTATAAAATATGCTGTTACTTCTGGGTTCAGAAGGACAGTGCCACTTGGTTTCTTCTAGCCTTTTTGATTGCCTTTGAGGTATGACACCTCTTGGCTTGAAGAGGGAGATCCTTACGGACTAAGGGTGGGTGTTTGGCTAAAGGAAACTCATTAGTTTACAACCATCTATTCCTCCAGCATTTTCTCCTTCAGGCCACAACATTCCTTTCCTCACCTTCACCTTGTCCTCAGAACAACTAATTTTTTATCTTAGGCATTAAAACAGTCAGATCCTCTGTGTGTCTTGTCCAAAACCCTGGAACTATCATGAGTACATCTGCTTTCTCAGGGGGAATTCTCTACAGAATAACTTTTCTAATGTTATCTTGGCATCACCTTGGAACACATGACTTAGGAAAAGAGAAAAGTCAATTGGCATGACTGCTTTCCAGCCCTCTTACACCACTAACACACTGCAAGTGAAAAAAACCAACCTGCACTTCCCTAACTATGAGTCTCCAAAAGGAACTGATTTCCTAAGCAAACAAAGGCAAAATTCAGTCTCTACATTCTCAAACAACCAAAAATTCAGGAGATTTTACCTATTTTCTGGTTTGATTTGTCTTACATGACTTTGATCACTCAAAATTGGTATGGTGTCTGAGTCTTAATTTCAACTGAGCCAAGTCTTAGAGACTAAGTTCTGCACTCTCAGAGCAAAGCAAATGTAATGACAGTCCTGGTCCACTTGCACAATGTATGGTGGTTTTGCCTTGGTTGAAAATATTTTTTCAAGATTCCTTTTCAACTAAAGCTGTAAAGTTAGGTTTTTTCATAAACTATAAAGAAGGAGCTCTCTAAACTGTAGTAATTTACTACACCTGGCAATGCAAGTAGGAAAGCATCTTGAACCACAAGGAGCTTAGGCATTATAAATATTTTCTGATCGTCTCCTTGCTAAAAAGCTGTTCACTCAATGCAAAAGCATGTGCACCATCAGCAAGTTCAGTACCTCAGAGAAAACAATGCATTAAAATGCAGTTTGGAATAACTGATTTTACATTCTGCTGTAATGCCTTTTCACAATGTGAAAGATTTTAAGGCTAGTTTGCTTTTGGTCACATAAGCTTCCACATAAACTTCAGTAGTCAATTATTGCTCAATTCATTTCTACCCTCGTGGCAGGGCAAGGAGTCTTGTATCCCTCTTGGTTTTCTAGTTACCCTGTGGAGAGCAGATTTAGCACCACCTTCCCTAACTGACAGAGCAGCACTTACAAAGTTCTTGAAACTTAAGGACAAAGTCTCTCAAAGGCATGCCGTAATTTCCTCACTCACTATCCAAAATGCTCTTATGTCTGGGTCTTGGCCAGGTTGATGGTTCCTCAACACAAGGAAGACCTTCTTCACGTACTCTTGACACACTTACCAAATTCCTCTCAAGAGAGGCTCCTCCCAAGTTCCTTCTTGGCTCCAGCAAACCAAGTCCCAAGAAGGGCTGCTACAGGATCCTGTGCCCATCCTGGACCTCAACAAGCTTCTCCGCCCATCACCTACATCATCTTCCCACCCCACCCATCAGAAACTGCTCTCAACCTTATCTCCTCACCTACTCATTTTTGAAGGGGCCACCTCTAGGCACACAGTGTGCTTTCTTTGGGCTTACTGCCTGTTAGAAAGAAAGAGCTTGCACTCATAGTGATAATGAAATGGGTATTTCATTATCAGGACTAAATACAAGGACTCAGTATTTAACACATCTGGTCATAGCAAGCCTTTTAATCTTTGCAAAGAAGAGAAAATATTGGAATTTTAAAATATTAAACTAAAGGGAGAATTATTTCTCTCTGCACTTAGAGTAAAATCAACAATGTGTCTTACGTGACTGTCCCATTGGACTGCTCTAAGCTGTTTCTGAAGCCTGGCAAACTTTATACAGACATAGCACCCTGCAAAACCACCTCAGGACTGGGCTAAGGTCTGCCTGCAAGTTTCCTTCAAAACAGTGCTGCAACTTTAGAATTGAGCCTTCTGGACCAAGGCCAAACAAATATTCCAAAATAAAGCTTGAAAAAAAAAATAAAGTCACCAATACATAAATGCTATAATTTAATAACACTAAAATAATCTCCAATAACCTCAGGTAAGTATCTTAACAATATTTGCTAATTAAAGTTCAATATTATCTGGAGATTTAAACATGGGGTTTGAATTCAGGAAAGCATTTTGCTACACCTGACATGGTCACAAGCATCTCAGCAAACCCATTGTCACTGGTTTTTATCAGATGCGGCATTAACAGAGCCACAGTCACTGTCGTAACTGAAATGCACAGGAAGATAAAAGCCATTTAAAAGTAAGCCAAGCCAAGGCATTTTACTGCAATAAGACCAAGCAGTGTCATAACATGCAATTCCCACAATGTTGCCTTCTCCCGTTTGGGAACTGACTTCAGAAAACCATTAGGCTCAAAAAAAGTTTTTTGCATGCCTTTGACCCTCTATGGAAACAGAGAAGGCAGTCCCCCAGGAAAAGGCTGATTTTTGCAGACGTTTTTCCTATGCCTAT